ACAATATCTAACAATTCTTGCCTTCTTGTTAGACACATATTTCACCCAGGCTTAACAGAATTTTAAAAGAAAAAATCCTTCTCTAGTATACTTTTCTTAAAAGCCAAACTATTAATAGTTCTGCATATACTCTTTTGTTTAATTTTTATTTATCTTTTTTTAATTATTATAGTTACAATACTGACTACTTTTATAAATATTCCAAGCTATAACTTATTACTCTTTTAGATAACTAAACTATTATTGACAAAGCTCATTACCAATCAAATAACTCTGGTTATACTTCAATAAACTATTAGCAATATAATATTACAAGTTATTCACTTCTACTATACTCTCTTTTTTCTATAACTACAACTCTATATCTATATTGCTCTTTAAACTCTAATGTTATTGCCAATAAATACACTATCCTCATTTCTACTAGCTAGACTATAAAATTTCTTGATAGACTAAGCTCTGACAAAATACTTAACTTTTATACTAATTATCTGAACCTTTTATATTCAATCATACTCTTGAACTCTAGCTCTTCTTCTCTTTTACTAGGTCTTAATATCTCAACTTTCCAAATCTCTTTTTCAACCTAATTCTGTTTTTAATATACTACAATATATTGCTATTCAAAACAGTAACTTAAATAACTTCATTTTTTATACTAATAGTTTTGTTATAAGTATAGGTAACCCCAATACTCTATAGATATTGGCTAGCTACAAATAAATAATTAGACAATACAACATACCTTTCAAACCCAAATTGAACTTTAGCTCTACTTTTTTAAAACTAAACTATTAGCAATTCTATTAGCTATTAGTATAGTTTCTCAAAACTTTACTATTTATATCTATACTGATTTCTAATTAGTTATTTTAAAATATAATAACTTTTTATATTTTACAATAGCAGCAAATTTCTTAAATACCTCATACTAGTTTACTTGAAAAACTCTCTTAAACTTTTCTTTATTATTTAATCTTTTAATTATTTTTCATAAAGTTTTAGCACATTAGGATAATGAATTTAACAATAAAGCTAATGAACTAGCTCATAGTTACTCTCATACACCAATTCTTATTCTTAACTTTTGTAATATCTACAATACCCAATTTATATCTCTTTTTAATAACCTTCTTTTAGTGTTCCAAATCAAAAATTGATTAATCGAATAATTAATCGAATTGGCAACTAATCGATTGATAATTTTATTGGACAACTAATCAGTTGTTGATGATTAATCGATTAACTGATTAATCGACTAGTTAGTTAATCGATTAGTTGACTAATCGACTAGTTGTTTTACAATATGTGGCATATATCATACCTTGATCTTATATCCAAGCCATTTTTATATACCAACTAGTCAATTGATCAGTTAATCGATTAATTAACTAATCAATAAATCGATTAGTTGGCTATAATCGATTTTTAATTGATTTTTAAAAAATTTTTTGGCCAACTAATCAATTGTATTTTTTGGTCTGATTTGTAACACTACCTTCTTTTTGAACTTTCTGTTCACTATAGTATCTGAACTATCTGTCATGCAAATATCTTTACATAATAGTCCTCACAATATTGTTTTCAACAATAGTCTTCTCTTTTCTATAATATCTATTAGAATGCTACTTAGCTCTATTTTAACAACAATCAAAAAACTTTAAAAATTTTGTATATAGCTTTTAATCATCAATATTTAAAACTTTTAAAGTTAAATTACTACTTAATAATCTTCTATTCCTACATATTCTTTATAAAAGATATTTTTCTTACCCCAATTCTTGTTATATCTGCCAACAATTTACTGATGCATTGCATTAGACATTTTGTCTTTTCTCTAATTTAATATTAAATCTTTTTAATATCTTTTTACAATATATCTTAATCTCTAACAAGCTTCAAATTTCACAAACTTAAATATAACAACTTCTTAGCTAAATTAAAAACCTTGATAGCTTACAAATATATCCTTTTACTTTTAAACTATCACTGTTCTCTACAGTTATTGATTTTGTTTTACTTAATATTATAAACATATTATGAGAATATATCTTTTCTAATAATTTTGCTTGTTTTCTTACTATTTAATTTCTTCTTTATTTTAATCAACAAATTTATACAAATATTTGAATCTCATATTGTACTCCAAGATCTCAATCTAATCTTGTTCCAACTAGTAATAGCAACACTACTTATACCAACTCTACTACAGTCTGCCCTCTATACAGTCACTCTCTATATAGTCACACCCTCTTTATAAGCACACTAATTTTTAAAACAAACTTATATAAAACATAAGAAATTTGCTCTTCATACAGGCACAAATGCTTATAAGCACAGAATTTCTTGGAACCGAGGGCGTGACTGTAGAGAGGTTTGACTGTATACCTATTTCTAGTTTGACTTCTCTATTTGAAAACTCTTCTAACTTATTTATATCTAATTCTTCCTGTAAAGTAGAAACTTGGTACTCTAATTGGATTAAATTTTTTTACACTCTTCTCTTATTCTTATTTATCCCCAAATCTCAATAAGCCTTGGCTACTCTAGTAGGTTTAGGCCACAGATAAGTATTTGGATTTATTTAGATATATGCTGAGTTTTTTTTTTTAGTTTTAGATTTAAAAGAATAAACCTTTTTTTCGACTATGTAAGAAGTTTTTGTTAAATTTAATAAAGATAAGAGCAAGGTTTCAACTTTAACATTAAAAAAAAAAAATTAATTATTATAATTTTTAATAGAATTTATTAAAAATTGTTCTGGATTCGACTTAAAGCCTAAATGCTAATATAAATTTTTTAACAAATTTAAGTATACTTATAAAACAATAATAATAATAATAATATAGTAAATTTTGTATATAGCTTTCGAAATTGTAATAAAATATTAGCTAATATCATGCAAATATCACATGCACATATCACATGCACATCACGATTTAATCAACCAATCAACAGATTATTAACCATGCTAGCGAAAACCTAATTTTGAATGTAAAAAACACATTGTTTTATTACTAATCACACCAAAACCAAAAGTTTATCACTACCCGAATTAAAAACTTAACGAATCAGCCAAATAATCATTCGACCAATTTTTTACCAGATGTCCCAAAAATAATGAAAACGCTGTAATCATTTTCCGATGATCCTGTTTACCAAATTTATATCACCAGCCAAAATTATGCTATTAATTTTGCCAGAATTTGATATTGTTACACTGCAATAAAAATATTCACCTTCATGATTTGATCTAAAAATATCAATTTATATTTTCTAAATATTTTCCGTGTTCCTGGTGCAGATTCTACTACACAACAGCTGCCTACTTAGCTAGAAAGTGCACTTACAAATTTATTGACAATTTCGCAGAAATACAAACCAAATCTTTCACTTATTTTTTCAACATTATATGAATCTATTATATGGATTATACGTTCGTAATCATTAGCACCAAGTCGATTCGGTTACTTTTATATGAACTCGGATATCCGAATTTTCTAATATTTACATAGTACCATCCTGATACTAAGTATGGTACCCGTAAACTAAACCTTTTGAATCCTTTTTTACTGTAGCGAAGATGAAGAACAAGAAAAAAAGGAGACTGTAGGAAATTATGTATATAATAGCAAATATGAAAATAGACGACTATTTAGTCATTTGAAGAGTCAATTATGTTGGTCAGAACAGTATTTACTGACTTGATAATATCGTAATAAAATTTTTATTAATATATTTATATATAATATATTTATATAAGATTACAAATCAGGAATATAACCAAAAAATTTCTTTAAATTTCAGTAATCGTTATATAAACTATATCTCAGAATACGTATTTTAAAACAATATTAATAAAAAAAAACAATTTAAATAAGACCAATTTATAAGTAATCACTTAATAACATATGAAACAATAAATAATTTAAAAAAAAAACCAAATATACATTCAAGAAAATTTATCATGAAGTAAAACAAGTCAAAAAAAAGTGATATTCTAAATACCAAATTAAGATAATCTGAGGTGAATTTTACCTGACTTAACCTTTTATACAAGGATATCCGACGCGTTTACGGGTTGTGAAAGGTTTGCAAAACTTAAAGAACAACTAGTGTAGGTAGCCTGATGATGAGTAATATAAGAAGCTCTTGTAGCTTTATCATTTTCATTTGAGGAACTTTCAGAATCTTGTGACTTTTCAATTGATTCAATTTGATTCCACAATTCAGGAAATTTTTTCTTATCATCATAATCATGATACCAACTTCCAAAAATATCGTGCAACTCTTTTGCAGTCGGTCGAAGTTCAGGTCTTGCATCCCAGCATCTTTTAATTAAATCACTAATTAATTGAGGAGTGAAGTTCTCCTTTATTTCAGGACGATAACCTTGACTAATTTGTAAAGCAAGATTATTGTTATGTGGAATATTATAATAAGGAGGAAGTTCAGATGCTACTTCATTCATGAGAATTCCAAAAGAATAAATATCGGCAGCTTGTGTATATTTTTCACCATAAAGAACCTCAGGAGCAATGTACGGCAATACGCCAAATATTTGATTGTTGGCTTGTTCCTGTGATTCATAATCAGTTGGCTTATATATCCCAAAGTCCGTAATATAAGAACAAATAGCATTATCAATAACTATATTTCCGCTATGAAGGTTTTTATGAGTTAAATTTGATTTATGAATATTATAAAGACCTTCAGCTGCTGTCCGTATAATATTTAACTTTGGGCCCCATTTTAAATTTTTAAAATTTTTATTCAAATATTGACGAAGACTACCGTCTGACGCGTATTTCATAACTATCATAAAATCATCAGTTTTGGGGTCTTTTGTTATTCCATAAAAAGGAAGAATATAAGTGTTTAAATTTAATTTCATCTGAACATTAATCTAATAAAAATAAAATTAAAAATAACATTAATATAAAATAAAATTAATAAAATTATACATATATCGTATAAACAAAAATTCTTGGTAGTAAATATTAGATAAATACCTCTTCCAAAAATTCTTCAATTTGATTTTTTGAATTACGTAAACTTTTAAGAACAACATCCTGATAACTAAATCTACTCCACTGTTTAGTTTCATCATCCCATCTTTTAATACATCCATCATCCCAATTTCCTCCATATACAATTCCATAACCACCTTTACCAAGA